GGGACGTGTCCGGAACACCTCACCAGGGAGGCGTCCAGGAGGCATCCTAACCAGATGCGCGAGCCACCTCAACTTGCTCCTCTCGATGTGGAGAAGCAGCGGCTCTGCTCTGAGTCCCTCCCGGATGATCGAGCTTCTCACCCTCTCTCTAAGGAAGAGCCCAGACACCCTGCGGAGAAAACTCATTTTGGCCGCTTGTATCCGTATCTCGTTCTTTCGGTCACAACCCAAAGCTCATGACCATAGATGAGGGTAGGAACGTAGATCGACCGGTAAATTGAGAGCTTTGCCTTTTGACTCAGCTCTCTCTTCACCATGACTGACCGGAACAACGCCCGCTTCACTGCAGACGCTGCACCTATCCACCTATCGATCCCTCGCTCCATTTTTCCCTCATTCGTGAACAAGACCCCGAGGTACTTAAACTCCTCCACTTTGGCAGGACCTCCTCCCCGACCTGGAGAGAGCACTCAAACCTGAATGTTTTGATGTCAGCTATTATTTAGCTATTTTTATGCTAATTTTAGCTTTATCAGCTAATTTCACATTTTTTTGCATTCATTTAAACTATTTAAATACTAATTCAGTAAAAAAAAAGTGCTCTCTCCACTTCTTTCTGGTGATTTTAGCTTCTTTCTGCATTTTTAGCTACTTTTCATCAGTTCTTTTGTTTTCTCCACTTCCTTCTGCTAATTTAAGCTTGCTCTACCTTTTCAGCTAGGTTTTTAGCTTCTTTTTTTTTTTTAGCCAGTTTCACTGTTTTTAGAAAAATTCATGTTCTTCGTGGTCATTTCAGTCTATTTAACATTTTTATGCTAATTTCAGCTTGTTATGCTGTTTTCAGCTTTTTTTCTGCTATTTTCAGCTTTTGCTTTAATTTCAGCTACCATTTAGCTGTTTTTATGCTACTTTTAGTTTTTCAGCTAATTCCACATTTTTTAACTAATTTCAGCTCTTTCCCTCTCCGTCTGGTAGTTGAAGATTCTTTCTGACGTTTCAGCTACTTTTTTCTATTTTCAGCTGTTTTTTATGCTAAATTCCGCTTTTTTGTGCTCATTTCTGTTTCTTTCAGCAAACCTGTTCTCTACTTCCTTTTGCTAATTTAAGTTTGTTCGACCTTTTCAGCTAGCTTTTTTTTGCTTTTTTAGCTCATTTCAGCTGTTTTCAGATAAATTCATGTTCTTTGTGGTAATTTCTACTACTTTCAGCTTATATTTATTCTAATTTCTGTAATTTCCTAATTTTTGTGCTCATTTTTGCTTTTTAAAACCAAATTCTGCAAATATGTGTTCTTTCTTCTTACTTCTGTTAACTTACGCTTGTTCTACCATTTCAGCTACATTTCAGCATGTTTTTAGCTCATTTTGCCTGTTTTTCAGCAAGTTCTTCTCCAATCAGCATTTGCACTGCATTTTCACAGGAAATGTGATTTCTCTGGTTTTCTTAAAACCAGGAAGTGTAAACACTTTGAACGGTAAACCACTCTGTGCAGGTCAGAGCTTGCTTAATAAAAGCATTTCGGTGGAGTCTGGGGACTCTCTGGCTGGGCTGCGCACAGAGGAGCATGCTGGGAGTTTGAGTTCTTCAGTTTCCCAGAGGAGATCTGAGTCTGGCAACGACAGGAAGGTGACCGGCCTTAAAACTCAAGTAAAGTTGGGATTTTTCAGGAGAAAAGTTGCGTTGCTCCGTAGTTTTAATGACTTTTTAAATATTAAATTTGAATAATTTCTTATTGAAGCTTTTCGAAGAATAATTTTCATAGTTGAAGTTTAGTTGTTCTTTTTCTGTTTGTGGCTGACTTTGTCTCATTTTCCTTAGAGCAACGCAGTAACACAGCCGAAGACAAATTCGTCCAGCTCCGGACCAGACGAGACGTCAGAGGACGACTTTGTCTCCCTGCGCGGAACCATCCGGAGTGCGTCGGACTCCCACGGACGCTCCTCTTCCTCCCCCATCTCCCCGGTGAAGGTGCTGCCTTTACACAGGAAGACTCCAGATAGAAAAAGCTGTTTGGACCTGAAGGAGGACGTGATGGAGACACAGAGGGACCGGTGGAGACAGTTCAGAGACAGGAAGACCAGATCGTCTGTGAATCACCTGCGACTGAAGAAACCCAAACAGACTCCGATTGAGCCCAGTGAGTTTAATGATCGATACTCGTGGTCCATACTCGCAGCAGTTTACTCCGACTGTTCCACTGTCGTTCAGTCAGTATGATCCCATCAACAAAACCGGTCTTTTTGCTTGTGAAGTCCTGACCAGTCCAGTTCCATAAAACTATTGGACAGAAATCATTTGCTGTTTATCAGAAAAAGTTGGAACCGTGTGAAAAATGTAAACAAACAACGCAATGATTGCTGGAAATCAATTCATTCACAGTGGAACATCATCATCATCATGAAATCAAGTGTTTGTTTTCCTTCTTTTAGTTGTGCTGTCAAGTGAAGAAGAGGAGGAGGAAGAGGTTGAGGAGCACAGAGACAAAACCAAGAAGACGACACCGAGCGGCAGCCGAGTGGACCAAAGAGACAAGTCAGAGACGCTGCAGGTTTGTTAAGAACAGATTAAATAAAAGACAAATCCTGCTGTTTCTGCATGAACCATCAATTTCAGGCTGGTTCCACCAGGAGAACTGAAGGGAATGGTTTTATCTATAGAATCTTACTTCTAACCTACAAAGCCGTCAACCACCTAGCTCCATTTTATATTCGAGATCCTATTGTTCCATGTTTTCCTAACGGAGCACGTCACTCTCAGTCTGCAAGCTTACTGGCGGTTCCTAGAGTTTCCAAAAGCAGAATGGGAGGAAGATCTTTCAGTTATCAGGCTCCTCTCTTGTGGAACCAAGGCTGACACATTGTCCAGCCTTAAGACTGGGATTAAGACTTTCCTTTTTGATAAATCCTATAGTTAGCGTTGGCTTGTTATGCTGCTATAGGCTTAGACTGCTGGAAGGCAAATTGGCCTCATTTCTATAAATGAATTGTTGCAATTTACTAGTTTTCAATTGATATTATTTCTATCTTAACGTGATTCTTGACCTGCCATTGTGTATCTATTCCTCCTTCCTGTTCCTACCAAACCCAGCCGGTCGAAGCAGATGGCCTCTTGTCCTGAACCTGGTTCTGCTAAATGTTTTTTCCTCATGAGGGAGTTTTTCCTTTCCACTGTCGCCTTCATCTTGCTCAAGATGAGAGTCTGTGATGGAGTTAAACTCAAAGCTCCTCAGATAAATAATGTTAAATGATTATTTTTATATATGAATGTTTCTGTTCAGTGCCCTGAGACGACTTCTGTTATATAAATAAATAGAACTGAAGGGACTGGTTCCGCTCGGGCAGCACGAGGGCTCAGTGGTTAGCATCGTTGCTTCACAGTAAGAATTTCCTGGGTTCAGTCCCTGATTTGGACCTGGAGTCTTTGTTGTGGAGTTTGCGTGTTCTCCTGTTTGCGTGGGTTTTCTCCAGGTTCTCTCGTTTCCTCTGGAGTACCTGAAGAAACCTCCCACAGTTCAGAAACCTCCATCCATCCATCCTGTTGCAGTTCTTCGAAATTTAAAGTGTCAGTCAAAAATTGCCTTATGAATATGGTGGGAAAAAAAAAGTATACAAGTCGCTTCGGCGTATAAGTCGCAGAACTGACAAGTCTATGCAAAAAAACCCCAAAAAAAACCCCTGCGACTTATACGCCGGAAAATACGGTAAGTCATAGCGCCCATCTCCTGAATGGTTTTAGACACGAACGGTTCAATTAGCTCAACGTGAGCTGCAGAACCAGCTGTAAGACAAATGAACAATTGCATTTTTTCTTTGATTTCCTCCAGAACAAGAGTGAGTCCATGTTAAGTAACAGAGCCTGCGGTTCTGGTTGTACCTAAACGTGACACGGATCAGTAACACCAGGTCAGAGTCTGCGGCGGTCCACAGGGCTTTCCTGTTCCTTGTCTATGTGGATCACGTGATAAAGCTGCGAGTAATGAAGCTGTAAACTTAACAAACTCCAGACCCTCGCGCAGTTGAGCTGGGCTCAGCTCTGACCCACTTTGTTTGTTTGTACCTCAGCAGGCCTGTAAACAGTCTTCGGCGAGGCTGTTTATTAATTAACTTGGAGCGTTGTGTGGTTCTGACCCAGATCTCTCAGAACATCTGGGGTTCCTTATTGATTCAGAAGGCGCATGAGAACTGTTTCCCTGTGCGCTGTCTGACAGGTTTGCACGCAGCTCGACGCTCCGCCGCCTTCCTTCCTGCAGCTGGAGTTCTGCTCGCTCCACGCCGGTCTCATGCAAGCTGAGGCCAACGGCCCGATGACGGTGAGACGCTTTCTGCTTCGCCTGAACCCCTGCTAGAAAAGACTCAAGCTCACTGAAACTCTCAGCTAAAATCAAGTCTCAAAATGACAAACCATTAGAAGTTGCAACATTTGTATGTTTGTAACATTTAAAATCTTTTTAAACTAGAGAAGCTTTCTGTGAAATCTCAGCGTGAACGCTGCGAGGCAATTATAAAACGTATTCAAGAAGCTGAAACGGAGCTGTTAAAGTTCAAACCAGCAAAACGAAAGCTATAATTTGGCTAAAACAACAACGTAAAACTAGCTAAAATGACCAAACCGGCAACGACAATGAGCTAAACAGATGCTAAAACTAGCAAAACGTACGCTAAAATGAGATAAACTGTAGCTAAAACTATATATTTGTCCATAAAAATAAAGCACGTTTCATTAAAACTGTATGTAAAATGAACATAACTGTAGCTTGAAGTTAAAAAGTAAACGCCTATTCATCATGAATCGTTTTAACAGACTGCAGCCACAGCGAAACAGAAACGATCCAGATTACAGGACAGGTCACGCTTTAGTCCAACTTTTATTTAATCTGTTGGAGTTTGTGCGTCAGATTAACTGAAAACTGATCAGAGATCATTGATCTGACGCCAAACTCCCTGACATCACGGCTGTTTTAATAAACCTCAGGAGGTTACCGTAACTTTCAGATTAGAAGCGCACCCGACTATAAGCCATGCGCACTAAATAGTTTTTTTTTTTAATAAATAAAATTTGGACATGTATACAGTAAGTCGCACACACTAAATAATAAAAACAAAACACTAAATAAAAGAATTTTGTACATATATAAGCCGTATTTGTGTATAAGCCACAGGTGTCCTCGTAGTAACATGAGATATTTACACCAAAAGATTTTTTTTTAACTTTAAATTAAATACGTACTGGTAGCATACACAGATACGCACAGTAAATGTTTATTTTCTGAACAATGCCTTTACAGCTGGTTAAACAAACAAAAAAATTCAGTAGCCTACCTGGCTACCATTGATCTTCATCTTCCTCCTGCTGCAAGGGGAGTCCCCCCTCACATGCTCTGCGCATGAGGGGATTCCCCCACTCCCCGATCTCCTCCCCTCCCCGTGTCATTAGTCCTCTGTGATCTGTTCGTTAATTTCATTGGTCTGATTAATTTTTTTACCTTTATTTATACAGGTAGTCTCAGTGAGTCACAAAGACGTGTGTCGGGCATCTATGTGAGCGCTCGGGTGTGACAAAGCTAAATGTTTTTGGTAGCAGGAAGTAGAGTTGCACTCGGGTCCAAATAATCCGAACGGCCCCAGCCCGTAGCCATCATCTCTGAACCCCACCCGCTTCGACGAATTAACAGTAATTACAGGTCCAAACCCGAAAAAACCAAGACGTTTTTAATTAAGCTTTGACTGCGTATACCGCCGACTATTATTAACGGTTGGCGGATGCGCGCCGCTGAGGGGGCTGAAGATCGGAGCCGAGGAGTCGTCAAAGCGCATTAAATGCTTCCCCTGCTTCTGCCTGCATTGGACCCTGCTCTGACATGTCAGATATTTTGTGATCTCACCTGTTTGGATCATCGGCCGCGCGCGTCCGCTGAGTGCAGCGGCTGAATGAACGTCCATTTGGGCTGATGGATCGCTGGCACTAGTCCATCTGAAGCTTAACGGAACTTTTTACCTCTTTCAACCGGCTGGTCAGCGTGCGGTCAAATGGTCACGTGCGGCAGGTGCAGTATGGCAAGCCATGTTCGCGTATATTGGATCGTCGGCTGCACGTGTCCCTGACGCAATAAAAAGCCCGACACCGACCCGGCCCACACATTAAGCATATTGTTATGGCCCGGTCTGAATCCAGGTCGGGCGGGGCCGGGCTAGAAATGACCGCTCTAGCAAGAAAGCTCGTTAGCCCATCCAAAAAAAAAAAAAAATCCATAAATTAGCTGCAGTATTGTATAAGCCGTGGGGTTCAAACCTGTGAAAAAAAGTAGCGGCTTATAGTCCAGAAATTACAATAATTAAAACATGAGGTGAGGTGTCTAACGTTTCAGACTGAACATTATTTGTACATTATACATTATTGTATTTATTTCACGTTATTACGTTTTGTCTTTTTCTTCTTCAGATCACTGAAAATGAGATCATCGTTCCTGTGAAAGGTACCGACACTGAACACAACACGACAACACACTCCACGAGTTGATAAGATTTTTTTTCAACAAAACTTTCATTTTTCTTCCTGTTTCTCAGCTCATGATCTGGTTTCCGGTACAATTCAGCCGTTTATAAACCAAAGCTATTTTCATGTTGCAGAGAAGAAACGAGTAAGGCTAAAAATAAAGTACTTTTCCCCAAACTCTTGCTAATAACCAAAAATGATCGGAACCGAGCATTTTATGGTTTCATTTATTTTATTTATAATAGAATAATAATAAAATACTATTACCAATAATAATACTCAGCTTCACACTAGGGGTGCACCGATAAATCGGCCCCGATTTCCTTAATTTTGGGAAATCAGAAATCGGCCGATACTTGCATGAGAAACCGATTTTACCGATTTTTATTTTTTAATTTTAACAATTGTCTGAACTTAATTTATATATCATAGCACTACCTCATGGCCAGTTAAAACAAGTTTTGTTTTTTTTCCAGGATATTGTTCAAGGGTATGTTTTTCAATAAAATAAGACTGGAAAATTGAAGGTGCATTGTGACGTTATAACTCCTGACAGTGTCGCTTATAAAACAAAATCGGAATCGGCAGATCAGACTTTTTAGAAATGGGTGATCGGCCAGAAAACTACAATCGGTGCACCCCTACACTACTGTTTTCCTGTTTTATAGTTTCTTCAATTTATTATTATTTTTTTTTTACTTGCAAATACTTTGTGCTAATGTAGCCGTTCATGTATCAAAACCTTCGGCTCATTCAGGAGATGAGTGCTTTGACGTTTGGTTCCTGTAACTTTTATGCTTTCTAAAATGTTTAACTTTATTTACAAATATTTTCCTCATAGAAATACATTAAGGTCTTGTTAATTCTTTGAATCATTCTTATTACTTCAGCATATTTGATTTATTTTAGTGCTTTTGCTGTTTTCAGCTAACTATTTAATACATTAGCCTTTTGCTAATTTTAGCATTTAGCCATATGTTTGATTTTTTTTTTTAATCCTTCAGGCTTTAACTACCTTTAGCTGATGTTTTGTTAATTTAGGTATTGTTTGCTAATTTTAGTTTTTGGCTACTGTTTTACTTCTTTCACCTAGTGTTTTACTGCTTTTTAGCTTTTAGTTAGAATTTCTCTACTTTTATTGTTTGGTAGCTTTTTGCTACTTTTGTTGTTTCTTTTAGTTTTTGTTCTGCTTGTTTTAAATCAAATATTCAGATTCAGTTAATTTCTGTAGTCGTTCAGCGTTTTGAATCACAGTGTTTTAACAGGAAATGTTTTGGCTACAACCTCATTAAAGACTCATTGAAAGAAAGGGATTAAACTTTTAAACTTTTTTTTTTTTTTTTAATTTTCCATCCTTCCTGCTGTAATAATGTTTGTTGTCTCTGCACGCCTGCTTCAGGACCAGAGGACAGCCAGGTGACGGTTGTGGCCTCTCAGCTCCGGGGTTACGGCATTTGGGATGGGGGCGTGGCTCGAAGCGGGACTCTTCTGGCTGCATGGGAAGGCCCCGCCCCCTCGCTGCTCTTCCTGTGGGTGTCGGAGGCACAGGCCAACCTGCTGCAGAGGGAGCTGTCAGTAGTCCAGAGCTCGAGCGCTGCTGCTAACGGTACAATAGTCCCTCGTTTATTGCAGGGGTTACGTTCCAGACCCGAACCAACCCCCCCCCCCCCCCCCCCGCAATTAGTGAAAATCTGTGAAGTAGCGATGCTATATTTATTTTAGTATTTATATATATTTTAAGGATTTATAAACCCTTCCCACACTCTTGCAATGTTCTAAACTCTTAAACCTACGTCATTTTAACAACATACGTACAGTACTTATATGTAGCTACTAAATTTTACTTACCAGCTCTGCAGAACAGGAGCGGCTCTCGTTCTGGTCCGACTCGGTTCGTTTCTGCAGTCATACCCTGCAGCGACGAAACCTACAATCAATGTTCTACACTCTTAAACCTCCTAAGTTTAACAACATTATATGTAGCTAGCTACTAAATTCTACTTACCAGTGCATCCCCGCTCGGAAGTCCTCGTGGGCCGGCTATCAGCTCTCAGGCTTCACTAATGGGTCTGGAGTTCTGGTTCTGCTCCGGTTCTGGTCCGGTTCGTTGGGTTTCGTGTAGCTCTCTTCATCTGCTGGGCGCTGAAGTCACTGTAATAAGAGCTGAACTTTTTCGGATCTAATCAAAACTTCCCCTCATGCATTTCAGCAGAGGGCAAAGGGGCTTCTGGGAAATGTAGTTATGAACGGAAACACAGCGTAGGCTTATTGAAAGAAAACTACAAAATGTCGGCGCCTGTCCGAAGTATTTTATTTTTTCATTAACTGTTTACTGTACAGTATTAGGGGTGTAAATCACCAGCTTTACCATGATACGATATTATATTGATTTGTTTGTGTGACGATACGATTTTTCTCGATATCACAAAGTCTGTCACTATACGATTTAGATTCTATTCGATTCACAAGTCTGCGATAGATATATTGCGATATCAAATGCCCATCTCATTTACATATAAATAAATTTACAAAAACGATTCAAATACGATTTAACCATTTTATTTCTGTTATTACCAGCACCAGGCATTTAAATAAAAAAAACATTTTTTCTTAATGAATGAAAAAATAAAAATAAATGACCTGTTCAGTATAGTCTCACATTTCTCATGTTTAAGTGCATTTTTTAAACCAGTTAGAGGTAATCAGGACACTTTTAAGTTGAGTTATAAAGAAACAAAAACAGATATTGAGCTTACATAACATGACTATCAATGCTTTGTTTCTTCTTCAGGTGAACGACCAAATTTGTTGTTTCCCGAGTATTTTAACTCACACGAGTACGACATGAGTTTTGTCTGTTGAGCCGTCCTTCTGTCAGAATCCAAAATATTTCCACAGTGTTGATTTAAATCCAGCAGGAGAGTGAATTTCATTATCTGTGTTTTCTGCCTCGTCTGCCATGTTGCTGAGGCGCACGGAAATGGTGACGCAGATGTGCCTTGGGAATTTCAAAATAAAAGTGTATTTTAAAGATGACCATATGAATTGATGTTTTAGTTTTGCCACGATATCTTTGAATCATTAATCATTTAATCGATATATCGATGTAAATCGATGTATTGTTACGCCCCTATACAGTATCCAGTACTGTCCCAATCACGTGAGTAATATTAAAGTTGACCATCGTGTGTCCTGTACAATTTTTTCCCCTCATATTCAATCTTATTTTGAAAAACTGCGGTAGATCGAGTCCTCGAAAGTCGAACTGCGAAGAAGCGAGGGACTACCTCACCTAGGGCTGCAACTAACGATTATTTCAATAATCGATTAATCAGACGATTATTTTTTTCCCCCCGATAAATTGATGAATCGGCCAAAAAACTCAAAATGTTTTAATTACCACCTCTTTATTCCAAAATTTGACTGACATAGCAAATCACACAAAAAGCAGGTTGCTACTTGACTATTTTGTTAGTAAAATATTGAATAATTAAAAAATAAAAAGTTTGTCAAATAGCTTCAATAAAAAATACATGTACACAGAAATATATACAAATGTATGCTTTATACCTGCACAATATGTAGCTACTTTGTAAAATGTCCTGGAGGGAAGAGTGTAACCTGGATTAAAAGTGTGGATTATTGTAACCTGGATTAAAAGTGTGGATTATTGTAACCTGGATTAAAAGTGTGGATTATTGTAGTGAAGCCTTCGTCTTCAACCATCGACAGAGGCCTCGTGTCAGTGACGATCATTTAAAGATGTTTTCAGTGAAGACAGCTGCTGCTGTGGTGTCCATGATGGCCGTCCATCATGAAGGCTGTCATTGCTTGTTGTTGTTGTTTTCTGGAATGAGAAATAAAAGTATGTATTATAGCATAATTTACAGCAACTCAAGAAATGCCTTGTTTCACTTACACTGTTAGATTCAGTCAAATAAGTAGCCCAAAGAGAAATTAAACACACACACTGTATAAAATACAAATTACACACATTTGAGTAGGTGTAATAAATGACTTTAATTCCTGTTTAAATGCAATTCACCCTTCCATACCATGCAGTGTCTTCAGACTTTGCCAGCAAATTAAAACTTGAAGCTAAATCATTAAATTATTACCGTCTTTGTGTTAGATTTATTTATAAATCACATTTAAACACTGCTTGTACCAATTAAATTGAAATAAAAACACATGTTCTCTGTCACCGCCATGAATCAGATAAACAAGCAGCAGCTTCAGCTACAGAGAGACTGACGTTACGTCACATGGAAACAGAACAAATGTCGGATATTGTAGATAGTTTACGACTCCCACATGTTTACGTTTATCTCCGTGGTTCTCCCGTGTCGTGTCGTCACTTTTCAAAGCTGCATGTTGTGCAGTTTTTATCTTTGTGAAGCGTCAAGTGCTCCCACACTTTGGAGGACTTGGGTCGAACCGTTTTCTCCTCGTCGGTCATTTGTAAAATTTACTTAACTTCCTTTGAAAACACAGTCTCTGCTCTGCTTCCTCCTCGCTCTGTTCAACTCACGCTGCAGAGTTTTTTGTTTTATTTTAAACTTCATTCAGTCAGCCAGCATTGACAATGCTCTGCAGGCGAACAAAACAGCTCTGCAGCGCCGTGAAAGACGCTTAATCACGCGACGCAACAAATCTGCCAACACTTTTAATATTCCATTTTTATTGATTCATTGTTGCAGTCCTAACTTCAGTCTCCTTCAGTTCCCAAACAAAACACACAAAAATGTAATTTCCCCAGAAGATCTGGGAAGGTTCAGTTCTCTGTTTTATTCCTGTAGTGACTCATCGTCTCTCTCAGAGGATCTTTGCAGCGGTCCAAAACACATATTTTTTTTATTAATTAAAAAAGCTGAAGTGAGGCGTTTTATTAACAATAAAAAAAATCAACATCTAAACAGCCAGCTGGAGACCTGCAGCTGGGAGAGCAGCCACGGTTGGAATGGGTTTGTCCTGTTTCGAGGTCACTCTGACCCGACTTCCCTCCGGGTCAAACACTTATGATTTATGGACACACAAACACGTTTCCAAGGAATACTGAAGTTCTGCGAACACACTAAAACAGACAACATGACTGTTTTATGTCGTCACTGCATGACCATGAAATTATTTAATGTTCCAACGTCCAGAACGTTTTGACCGGGCCGACGGGTCAGACACCAGAACTGGTCAGACCGGTCGAGTTTAGATGAAGCTGTGAAATGATGGAAAAAAATCTCCCTGTTCTCCTAATTTCCTCCTTGTTTCTTCCTCCTCCTTCCTTCTTTCCTCTTGGTTTCCTTGTTTTTTCCTATTTTTCTCCTCATCTCCTCCTTTCTCCTCGTGTTCTCCTGGTTTCATCCTCATTTCCTTCTAGTTTCCTCTTTGTTTCATCCCTGTGCCCTCCTGGTCTCATAATTATCTCTCCCTGATCTCTTTTGGACTCCTGCTTGTCTCCTCCTGGTTTCTTGTTTTCTCTTTGTGTCCTCCTGGTGTTATATTCTCTTCTTGTTCTCTGCAGCTCCTTCATGCTCCATCCTCCTGCTGGTGTTGAAGGAGCAGCTGCCGCAGCTACAGACTGCTCTCCTCGCCTCCATCTTGGACATGGAGGAGTACAAGCAGGCCCGCTCCTCCTCCTCCCCCATCGACTGGACTGACGGGCTCCTGTTGGTACACAGTTGTCCTCCTCCTGTGGACCAGCACCTCCTCCGCCTGCTGGGACACTCAGCAGTAAGAACCTCCCTCTGATCCTCCTCCTTTATATATAAAAACATTTTGATCCAAAGCTAAAAGTTAAACATTTTGATTAAAGGTTTTATTTATTAGGCGAGCAGTTATGGCAAAAGTTAAAACATTTTTTATTTTTATTTTAAGTAAATATTTGTAAATATAAGAAAAATCTATAAGGTGTCAGATCATAATCAGAATGTCTTTATTGTTGTTGCACTGAAGCACAACAAAATTTCATTTCACAGCCATCCAGAGAAATAAAAAGATAACCAAACATAAGACATGGGTAGACGGGCGCCTGAGGCTGCAGCCTCATGGGAGGCGCTGTCATTTCCTTTAGATAAGGAAAGAGAAACATGAGGAAAGAGGAGGTAAAAAAATAAATCATATCTCACACTGTGTCCCTAAGAGGACATAGTAGCTGTGTTTATATGGACATAAGTAATCAGATTAAACGGCCATTCGGATTAAAAATGTGTCATGTAAACGCCCCATTCGGATTATTTTTTGTTCATTCAGCTCGATACGAAAGAATTTGTAATCAGAATGAGACGGGTGGTTTATGCCGATTCATAATCCGAACGATGTGCACTTACTCTGTTCATTTTTGTTCCGATTTCAGGTCTCTCTTGTAAATGAGTCCCCGAGGCTCAATGGGATTAACATGTTTAAATAAAGGTTGAATGAATGAATGAATTGTGGAAAACTGACCCGACTGTGCATGTGCGACCTATGTTTATCTGACGTATTTCCGCCTGGCTAATGCTAATAATTTTAGCATGTCGGGGAAGCAAAACTGGTCAGTGAGCGCCACAACATTTCTACTATAAACTTTGAAAGAGCTCAAAATGATCTGTATTACCTGTAGCTCAGTCAGGGAGTGCAGTAACGTCTCCACCGTCATTAAAACCTGTTGCGGGTCCATTTTGGTCGCTCAAGTTTGTTTACGTATATCCCGGAAGTAAACCGGAAGTAGAACTTCTTCTGTGTCTTTTTAAGGAGAGTTCACCACTCTGTGCCAGTACTTTTATTCTGAGTAAAAGCCCGCTGCATGTAAACGCTCGTCACGAACGGATTGTGCCCATGTAAACGATGCGTTCAAATGATTTAATCTGGAAACATTTCAATCCGGTCAAAGAATATTGCGCATGTAAACATAGCTACTGGGAGGTTGCAAAAAACCCTCGGCACAAAAGAACAGTGACATAAGACATACGCATGTGGAGTGGGTGAGCGTGGAGTGGGAGCAGAGCATCTTGTTCACATAACATCCAGGAGAATTTGAGATAGCCTTCCAAGAACGACACAGGGGAGCCAGATTAAAATAACAACAGTTGTTTTGGGTCATGCCGACTCCATTAGTTTCCGTCTGCCTTATAGTCTCACTGGCCCATCTCAATGGCGACTCCAAACAGCCAAATTTGTGGCCATACCGCTGAGCCGAGCTTGCAACTTCTCCAAGGTCAGTTCCTTCCCGCCAGCGACATTCAGGAACCGCAAGTAGCCTGCGATTCTCGGCAAGAATCGCGTCCAGCTTATGGCTCATCTCACACAGCGTCTGAGTGTTCACCGCCCGGCACATCCTCTCACACAGAGCAGGCAGCCTCACAATGGCCAGAACAGCTGCCGACCTTTTCCGAATTTGTCGATATGCCAGGTAACCACCAACTCCAAAAAGCAGAAATATTATCATAAATCCAATTATGAACACGTCTTCTACATCCTGAACCAACAATATGGACAGACACACGATCTTCCACCGCCCCCAGGAATCCGTCGTGTATCCGGCTGCAAGTGTCCCGTCGGGGCAGGAGGGCTCTCCTTCGCCCTGTCTTCTCATCAAGAAAATTTTATCAATTGCGTTGAGAGACCAGCTGACCAGATCCATGATTTACAATTTGGAAGATATGTAAAGACAGGCTGCGAAAGTTTAACAAACAGCACAGGACAGAGAGCAGAAGCAGGGGAAGGAGCGGGAGAGGAAAAAGAGCGTCCGCCTTCACTGAGAGCAGGAAGAGAAGAGCTATAACCATCATGGTTGTTGTACAAGTCACAGATTGTTTTTTTAGAGGAAAATTCCCATTTTACTTTCTATAAAAAATTAAAATTTCATTAAAAAAAAAGTTATTTGGTGCCAGTTTTGCCTCCTAATAAACCAGATTTTCAGATCTTTCAAATAACAGTTAGTAAAAGATCAGATCAACGCTAGACAAAAGCTCTGTTCTGATCGGATTCTGTTTCCTGACAGAAGTCCAGCCTGTCAAGCGGCGCTCAGAGGAACTCCGCTGCCCATCTTCAGCTGCCCTCCAGGTGAAACCAGTCAACCCACTGAGTCCTGTGTTCTAGTCGTGATGGATTAATTAACCCAGAGTTCCCATCTGCAGGCTGATCCAGTACCCTCTGGTTCCGTGTAAAGGCCGGATCACGGTGACCGAGGAGGACCTGGCCTGTCTGGACGCTGGCGAGTTTCTGAATGACGTCATCATCGACTTCTACCTCAAGTCAGACCACGTTTGTTTGTTCTTATTTATTTGTTTGTCTTTTATCTGTTTGTTATAACACTCCTCCTCCTCCTACTACAGATATCTCCTCCTGGAGGGTGTTGACGGCACGGTGGCTCAGAGGAGTCACGTGTTCAGCAGCTTCTTCTTCAAACAGCTGAGCAGAAGGCGGGTGGCTGGTGAGGGCGACGCCCCCTCCGTCCCGTAAGAATGCAACTGCCTCTCAGCTCGTCTAACCTCAGCTGGGTGATGAAGGTGTCAACTCTTCTTCCTCTTCCTGTGTTGTAGCGACCGTCGCATGAGGCATCAGAGGGTGAAGACGTGGACGCGTCACGTGGACATTTTCACCAAAGACTTCCTGTTTGTGCCTGTCAATCAAGAGTAAGATGATCATGATGAAGCTAAAGCAGAGTCTTCTTCACCTTACTCACAGACTAACAGGGTTCTGCGTTTCCTCAGAGCTCATTGGTTCCTGGTGGTGGTCTGTTTTGCGGGTCTAGAGGAGGTCCGGACGGAGGAGTTCCAGCCCCGAGCAGGTGAGCAGCTGACCTGATCCGGCTCGGTGAGTCGAGGCAAATGGAGCATTGAAGTTTAATGAGGACCAGATAATGTTCCAGGTGGTACTCCAGATTAGATGTTTGTTTGGTGTGAAATGTTCCAAACTATGGGGCACCGATAAATCGGCCGGCCGATTTATCCCAATTTCCTTAATTTTGGAAAATCGTAAATCGGACGGCCGATTTATCCCGATTTCCTTAATTTTGGGAAATCAGAAATCGGCCGATACTTGCACGAGAAACCTATTTTACTGATTTTTTAAAAAATTTTTAGTTTTAACAACAATTGTCTAAACTTCATTTATATTTCAGAGCACTACCTCATGGCCAGGTAAAACAAATTTGTATTGTTTCTAGGCTATTGTTCAAGGGTATGTTTTTTAACAAAATAAGATTGGAAAATTGAAGGTGCATTGTGCCCATATAACACCTGACATTGTCGCTTATATAACAAAATCAGTATCGGCCAAAATCGGAATCAGCAGGTCAGACTATTTAGAAATCGGTGATCGGCCAGAAAACTGCAGTCGGTGCAACCCTGCTCTAAACTGTTCTTTGGAGCTTGATTTGGCTCGGGTAGTCGAGGTCAATGGAGCGTTAAACTTTAATGTGGACCAAATAATGTTCCAGGTGGGACTCCTGATTAGATGTTTGTGTTTGGTGTGAAATGTTCCAAACACATACTTTGGAGCTTGATTTGGCTCGGGGAGTCGAGGTCAACATAGCGTTGAACTTTAATGTGGACCAGATAATGTTCCAGGTGGGACTCCTGATTAGATTTTCGTGTTTGGTGTGAAATGTTCCAAACACATTCCCTGGACTCTAAGCTTCATCGTTTGTTCTTTCGGTTACGTTTTAGCTTTACTGTCTTTAAATTAAAATCATTTTTAAACCTTTCCAGGTGGCTCTGCATACTGACTCGGCACTTTTCTTGACCTGATTTTTACAATTAACTATTTCTGCAGTCTTTTTGCTATTTTTAACCTTTCATATATCAAAACATTCAGCTCATTCAGCAGATAGGTGCAGTGACTTTTAGTTTTTTGTAACTTTTATACGTTTCAAAGTAAGCTATTTAACTTTGACAAATATTTTCTTGAAAAATACCTTAAGATCCCTTTTATTTTAGTATTGTTTGTATGTCTTATACTTCTTTTAGCTTTCAGCTACCCGCTTGTTACTGTTTGCTTTTATCGAGCCTTTTGCTACTTGCTTTTCCCTAGCTCTTTCTGTATTTTTGCTTCTATTCTTCTCTTTTTAGCTTCATGCTAGTCTTTTGATACTTTTGCATTTAGCTAGCTTTTGTTTTTAGCAATGCCTTTGCTATTTTTTAGCTTTTAGCTAACCTTTTGCTGTATTCATCTCATTCCTTTGTGCTAATGTTTTGTTAGTTTATGTTTAAGCTGAGCGTTCAGACTTTGTTTTAGCAGGAAATATCTGTTTTGTTTTTCTTTCCAACTTGTTTCTTTAATAAACTCTTTGTGTTTTATGTCACTAATAAATGAGGTAAGTGAACTGCTTGTTAACGACAGCAATGCTCGTTAAAGTCCAGATGTTTGATGTTTCTGCAGGTGGATCCGAGAGAGCCACAGGAAAACTGGAACTCGGCTTGAAATCCTCGCTCCCGCCGGTACACAAGCTGAGCAATCTCTCTGGGTCAATGACCTTTGACCCCTCCCAGACTGACGGGTGTTGTTGACGTTGTGTTTGCAGGAGTGCACAGAGCTGGGCTGTAAGAAGAACACGGTGACCAAGAGGTGAGGAGACGAACGCTCGGTCATTATGAAAATAATGTTGGCATCAAAAACAGATTTTTTTGTTTTTGTTTGTGGCATTTTGATTGTTGTTATTTTTCAGGTCTTGTATTGATTGTTGTTGTTATTTTTTATGTTTTGATTATTGTTGTTATTTTTCA